TTTAAAATAAATAATATAAACATCTATAGAATTATTTTGTTGATTTGAAATTTAAACGTAATAGTTTCAAAGAAAAATGATTTTAAGACTTAATGTATTATACGTTTAGAATGACGTACAATACATTAAACTGCAGTATGAAAGATGTAAAATAATATATTAATAATAGAAGATAAATTGCTTGATTAATAGAAGTACCATATATTTAACCTATAAGTTTATGGCCAGCCACACAATTACCTCCTTACCGATTCGAATTTTACATCAATAAGAACAATGGATCTGATTTAAACCTTAGTTTTTAGAAAACGCTCATTAAAGTTTCACGATGTCACTTCCAGAAATTTCGTTTTCCACCGACCAAGCAATAAGGAGTTTCTTGTAATCATGAGTAATCCGATTGTATGAATTTTCATAGGTAATTTGGGTGGAACTGCATTCTCCATTCTCGCATACAATACTTGATCCATTGTGGATTAGGCATGTCTGCAATATGAAAATCTCGGCAAGTAAATGTACGTTGAATTGGGCTTCAAACATTTTGAAACGCATCACATATAGCAAAATTATGATATCGAATTTTAAATTTATTTAAGCAGTTAAGGGTTAAGCATATTTTATCAAAGAGTAATGCTTAGGCCTACATCAAAATCCTTTTAGTGGGGCTGCCCACAAGGCAGAAAAAGACAAATGTGAAAAGAATGAATTATTGAAAGGAAAAACAAATAACGACGAGTGAAAATCATGCGATTGATTGGAGAAAGAATAACCAATTATAGCCTAACGTAATTTACATCTCCAATAATGCAATGCGTGTCAGTTGTCTTCGCACTCAACTAATCATCGACAATGATAACGACCATTTTGCTATTTTAAATTTAATTTGATTAAAAGCTGGCTCTGCCTTACCTGTCAAAAATAAAAAAGTATCGCAATTACTTGATATCTGTTCCAATTAGATGCTAATTGATCAGATATAAATTAACGCTTAATTTTGTAAACAAAGAAAAATATTGTAAAACACATTTAATTATAAAATATTTGTTTATATTCAAGAGAAACAGGAATAAATAAAAATCATATGCGTATGATTTTATTTATTTTATAACACAAAGATTTCAATGACACTGTGATTGAAAGTTCTACATGTTCTTTCAACTTTCGATTTGATTGATAAATCAATCATACGGAAAGATCCACTGGATCATTTGCTATATGATTGATTTATCAATTACATAGAAGATGGTTCAGTGAATCTTTGAATTCAAAATTATAATTAAACTTTTTAATGTATTATTGAATTTTTATGAATCCTTATTCTAGTTATATTCTAAAATAATATAATCCGTTGAATAAAATGATTTCTTATTGAGTATTATTGTAAAATGAAATAATACTATCAGTGTAATTTGCATTCGTAGAATACCCATAATTTATATGTAAATTATTAAATTGAAACGTCTCTTTGATTTATCAAATGATAAAAATATAAAATTTAAACTAGTAAGCCTAATCCATCTCGTTGAGACAATTAATATTGGAATTTCTATATTTTTTTAAATAAAAATAACAATCTTAAATGTTTTTCTTTATGTAAATTCAATTTTCTAATAGGTAAAAAGTTTCATTAAAATTCTTACGGTAAATTACAATTATTGTATGAGGAAGTAAAACTGCAGATAACATAGAAATATAATTTTTTTAAAAATATATTGACTTTTCTATAACAATTTAATCAGTACATGCAGAAAATACAATGTAGAAAACTAAAATAGCATGTTAAAATCTTAAAATATTTCATTCCTCCACGATTTGAGACAGTTTTGCAACGGTGAAATTGGCACAGTTTGGCATTTGGGTTTTTATGTCAAGGGTGGTTGACCATATTGCATAAGAAAGTGTCTCGAACGGTTTAAAGAATGCAATCACCGAAAGTAAGTTGTGACTCAGTGGACGAAGAAAACCGTGAAAGTTATGAAATCGTCGATAACACTAAAATCAACAGAATTATATATGTTAAAATTCAAGTCCTATAAAATCTATTTATTAATAATACGTATGAAGTTATCAGTAGTAGTTATTAGCAAGCAGACTGAAAATATTATCTTATATTTAATATATCTACATTAGACATGCTTTATATTAGCAATAACAAACAATTTCGATACAATTCAAATTGTAAAGTTACTTTTTAACTTACGAATTATTGGGAAAATTAATGTAATACACCTTTTAAAACAAATCATATTTAAAAGCTGTTCTATATATTGTTCAGTATAATATACACTGTTTACATACATTATTTAATATATTATATTAATAATATATATAGCATAATTACGGTAAATTCTGGAGAGATACATAAAGAAATTACAAATATGGCTCCAAGATCAGTTAGAATTTCCTTATAGATCTACAAATATGTACTTTTTTTTTAATCAAAGAAAGTAATATTGCAGTTCAATACGTTCCATCATTAATATTCCATTGAAAACGAATTATTCACTACGTTATTTACATTTTAAAAATGAAGGGAACACGTTTGCCCGAGGACAAATCTAACCGCGCCCTTAAAGATAAATTCTGGAGAAAGTTACAAATTTAATCATTTTTAATTTACATATTTACTTATTTTACAAGTAATTACGGAAACGTGTATTTAAAAATATACGAAATACATTATAAAAATGATATTTTTTTCAATGATTCGCCCGCAATCTAAACTTAGATTATTCAGAATTTGATAGTTATTCATTCTCAACACCATATCCTATTAAATAATAACTAAATAAAAACATATTTGAATAAATTTAATATCAAAGAAAAGTTAATAATTATATTAATTGGATAGTTTAATTAAATAAAATGTCTTTAAATTATTCTTAATAGGAATTAATACGACCATTTTTACGCAATTAAAACTATGAATAATCTGCATACAAACAGAACTAAATTGTTAACAAGTCTATTGTCTTTTATTTAATCAACATTAACTTTATTAGCTGAATAAAATTTTATAATTATTAATTCGTAGAAATTATAAAACTAATTTAATATTATAAAAAGTATAATTTTGATTTATAGACTATATTAAAAATTCTAAGTAGAATATTAAATTTTCTTCCACTCAAAAAAAAAATTTTTTTTTCAATGAGTCATTTCCTAATTGATACAGTATTTTTTATATTTAATTTCTCAAAGAATACATTTAAAGCCATCGAATCGAAACATTGTTATTTAGTCAAATTAATTAAGCGTTTAATTTACACTTTTAATTGTTTAAACTTGTGTGTAAGTACGGTTTGACTTCGTATCGCAGATTGTCCCATTTAGCTCATAGCAATAGCATGAAATGAGTGAGTTACAAACATACTTCAGAAGTTTCACCTCAGCTCACACGAGATTCAACCATCCCCAACAAATTTAATTTCCAGAAAATAGAGCGTACTGACGATAAACCTTTTACAATTTCGATATTAATAGAAATGTTTACTTATCATCATCGATTACGGATATTCAATAATTGAAATTTGTATCGTTTATAATATTTGCTTATCGGAATAGCCTCATTTGATTTGCAATAATTATATGTATACTCGTCCCAGTTCATCGACCTAAATATTTCTTTTAAGCATCTAACATTTTCGACGATAAGAAATCAATCGTTTCATTTTTCTTTTGATTCCGTTGTATTTATCTAACGAAAAATATTTTAAGAATCGGTTTTATTTTCGATTGAATTTTCGTTCTATTTTTAGAAAGGAATGCTCTTTTTTTACTGTTACTAGTTTTTCTTGTTTGCTTTTTGTTCTTTAATTCTAACTCAAGCAATTGCTATTCTATAAAGAATTCTTATTTTACTATTTAAATTCCTTCATTCCTTGTTCATTTTTAGTAACTTGTGTCTACTTTAAATACTACCCCAGTATAAAAATCCGTTGCACGTATTTTTTCACTTATATTCGTATAACGTTTTGTTTCATAAATTTTTGAAATTTAAAAATTTTTTTGCTTGTTTTTGTGGATGTGATAAATTTTTTTATAGCTCATTTAAATTTCTTACACTTGTTTATTTGCTTACGTCAAACTTTTTAAACTAGTTCAAACTAGTTCTAAATTCTATAGACATATTCATATATAACTAGAAAAACAATTTAAAAAATTATTATATTAAATAATAACTCAGATTTATCGAATATCTTTTAATTTTTTCTATTCCTATATTTTTATTTTGGAATTTTTCTTTTACATTTTGTATTTTTATAAAAAAAAAAAAAGTTCCAACAGAAGATTATCTTTAAAGCAAATTAAGCGCATGGTTTAGGGGATTCGAGCTCAAGTAGCTGCAAATAGAAGTAAGTATTGAATTCNATTAATATTACTATTAATATAGAGCTAAAGCATATACTGTATATATATGTGTGTGTATATATATATATATATACTGTGTGTACAGTATATATATATTTTAACCCTTTCGTGAGGCGAAAAATGGGTGAAAATTGCTCGAAGCAAGATGACGTCAAGCTGAATAGGAATGAACGATAGGCAAGGGAATATAAAAACAAGTCTTTTAAATAGTAATATTATCCATAAATGGCAGTTGAAACTTGCTGCTGTAATCATGGACTCTCTGAATGCCATATCAGATGATCTCAGTATAATGCATCATAAAAAATATATTTTATGTTAAATATGGGAAATCATACTTTAAAAAACTGCAAATGTTTGCATATTTAAAAAAAATCTAACAAAATATAAAATATTATTTATCTGCTTGCAATATTAAATATTAAAATCGAGCTACGATGCCAATATTTCAAAAAATGTAAAAATTAGTGTCTTTAAACAGAAGTGTAATTTACAGTATAGGGTAATTCTTACAGTATTATACTGTAATTAAGTAAAATTTAAATCGATTATTAAAGTTTTACGCAAATATATAGACTATATATAGAGTTTGAAATTTTTTTCAACCATGTTTGAACAGAATATATATCTCACCTGAGAAGTTTCTTGTGAGTGTTTGCTGGCATAAAGTATTCTTCGAATGCTTTTCCCGTGCCATTGTTCTGCTGATTTAATTTTGCTGCCGAATGGCTGATTTCGTTATTGATTTCCTTTCCACCATTTTGAACACTGGTATCCAGATATTCCTTCTGAGCTTCTAATGCTTTCTCGCAATTATTGCTTATTATAGGAACAACAGTTGTACGTACTTCTTTCAATGGTATCTTTTCGGTCGCGGGATATCCTTTCGGATCGTGTGAATTTTTATTTTTTGATTTATCTTTATTGCAATTCATAAGTGTATCATCGGGAATCATAATTTCGGTTTCGCACGTATTCAGTACTTTACCTACTGGTCTACCTAACAGAGCGGTGATGTAATGATGATTGGAGGTATCGTTTTGGTACTTGTTCGAATTAGAATCATCGTTAAAGTTTGTGGCACTTTCATCGTTTTCAAATCCATAATTAACAACCTCACCGCTTGATTCGTCGTTCTGTAATGGAATATTTAAATCTAAACTTAATTTAACTAATCGCTCCTTTTGATCCGACTCCTCCGAAACGTCGTTCTCTTCCTCCGATAGAGAAGGATTTTCAGAATTTTCCTTTGTTTCATAGTTTTCTGAATCGTTGTCCTTTTTCTTAGAGTCATTTTCCGAATTCTACAATAAAAAATAAATAAATAATAAACATATAAAACTTATATATCATTGTTGCTGTTTTTTCTTACAAACAACACATTCACATTTAGAATAGTCTTTATTATTTCTTCTCCTAAATTCCAGGAGAGTTGTCACGTATGATTAGAGACCTTGAACGACGTCAGGTTCAACAATTTATAAGTAATTACTCTCAAATTTCTAGCAAACATGTTATGAACTACTTCAGTGATTTAGTAAGAAAAATCTCTTAAATCTACTAAGAAAATCTAACAAAACAACTGCGTTTTTCGGGCAAACGGCGTAACCGAAAAAATCTTAACTAATTTCGACACTACTTATTACCGAAATAATATTTTTAATACGTTTTATTGCTAAATATATTGTTTTAAATAGAGGTCGAAACATGTCCTTTGATAATATTTTTCTCTATCATTGTCTAAACAAAGTAACCTTGCGCCTATAATAAATTTCTCAATCGTTAATATCAGAAGCCAGATTTTCATTCGTTATAGAAAACTTTCTCGTGTGGGGGGAAGGGGGTTATTCCACGTATGCGTCATTTCCGGCGCGACAGTTTAATCCGCCCAACGTATGACGTATAGCCTTTGACCACTATTAATTTTCTAAAACGCGACCCCTGACGGCGTGTCTTTAAACTAAAAGCATCTATCAAGAACTGAATTAATACAGAAACAGTCGGATAAAATTACAGAAAAAAAAAACAACAAAAGAGAGAAACCCAAAACTCTGCCTTATTGGGCAAAGTTCTCTCGCTCGTCTAATGTTCTTTTTATTCGTCAAAATTGCACAAAACTTACTTAAACAAGGAAAATTGAAATAAGCATTGTTATCGGAAATTTTCCATAATAAAATGTTCACTGACGTAATGTTTTTTTTCCTCCCCTCCATCAAACGATTTCCGTAAGAAAGAATATTTAAAAATAATATCCAAGAAAAATTTATTAAATATTACTCTTACTCGAAAATCATTAGAAAATTGAGTAATTTTTATCCGCCATTTTTCCTTTTCTATCTTGTTTCTGTTCAAAGTCTTCCTGTCCCCATTTACAAATAATAAAATATATTTTATTTATTTTTACGTATATTCAAAAAAAAAAAAAATTATATGTCAATACCGTATAATACAAAATTTATTTTCATTTATCGCTAATTATCGCGTCGTGTATAAGGAATACGGAATTTTTTGGTCTCGACCGTTCATCGCCTCAATAAAAATTAAAGAAAGGATAACACAATCCACCCTTTCACAGAAAATTGTGCAATAATTACAGTTCCTAAAATGATTATTCCTTGATTTTGTTACCTGTTTCGAAGTAGGATAAAATAGTCCAAAATTCTAACTATTTTTATAATCGGCGGAATTAATACAATTAAATATAATAAAAAACCCACAAAAAATTTTATATATGTGTGTGTGTATATATATATATATACTGTGTGTACAGTATATATATATTTTAACCCTTTCGTGAGGCGAAAAATGGGTGAAAATTGCTCGAAGCAAGATGACGTCAAGCTGAATAGGAATGAACGATAGGCAAGGGAATATAAAAACAAGTCTTTTAAATAGTAATATTATCCATAAATGGCAGTTGAAACTTGCTGCTGTAATCATGGACTCTCTGAATGCCATATCAGATGATCTCAGTATAATGCATCATAAAAAATATATTTTATGTTAAATATGGGAAATCATACTTTAAAAAACTGCAAATGTTTGTATATTTAAAAAAAAATCTAACAAAATATAAAATATCATTTATCTGCTTGCAATATTAAATATTAAAATCGAGCTACGATGCCAATATTTCAAAAAATGTAAAAATTAGTGTCTTTAAACAGAAGTGTAATTTACAGTATAGGGTAATTCTTACAGTATTATACTGTAATTAAGTAAAATTTAAATCGATTATTAAAGTTTTACGCAAATATATAGACTATATATAGAGTTTGAAATTTTTTTCAACCATGTTTGAACAGAATATATATCTCACCTGAGAAGTTTCTTGTGAGTGTTTGCTGGCATAAAGTATTCTTCGAATGCTTTTCCCGTGCCATTGTTCTGCTGATTTAATTTTGCTGCCGAATGGCTGATTTCGTTATTGATTTCCTTTCCACCATTTTGAACACTGGTATCCAGATATTCCTTCTGAGCTTCTAATGCTTTCTCGCAATTATTGCTTATTATAGGAACAACAGTTGTACGTACTTCTTTCAATGGTATCTTTTCGGTCGCGGGATATCCTTTCGGATCGTGTGAATTTTTATTTTTTGATTTATCTTTATTGCAATTCATAAGTGTATCATCGGGAATCATAATTTCGGTTTCGCACGTATTCAGTACTTTACCTACTGGTCTACCTAACAGAGCGGTGATGTAATGATGATTGGAGGTATCGTTTTGGTACTTGTTCGAATTAGAATCATCGTTAAAGTTTGTGGCACTTTCATCGTTTTCAAATCCATAATTAACAACCTCACCGCTTGATTCGTCGTTCTGTAATGGAATATTTAAATCTAAACTTAATTTAACTAATCGCTCCTTTTGATCCGACTCCTCCGAAACGTCGTTCTCTTCCTCCGATAGAGAGGATTTTCAGAATTTTCCTTTGTTTCATAGTTTTCTGAATCGTTGTCCTTATTGTTGCTGTTTTTTCTTACAAACAACACATTCACATTTAGAATAGTCTTTATTATTTCTTCTCCTAAATTCCACATTCACATTTAGAATAGTCTTTATTATTTCTTCTCCTAAATTCCAGGAGAGTTGTCACGTATGATTAGAGACCTTGAACGACGTCAGGTTCAACAATTTATAAGTAATTACTCTCAAATTTCTAGCAAACATGTTATGAACTACTTCAGTGATTTAGTAAGAAAAATCTCTTAAATCTACTAAGAAAATCTAACAAAACAACTGCGTTTTTCGGGCAAACGGCGTAACCGAAAAAATCTTAACTAATTTCGACACTACTTATTACCGAAATAATATTTTTAATACGTTTTATTGCTAAATATATTGTTTTAAATAGAGGTCGAAACATGTCCTTTGATAATATTTTTCTCTATCATTGTCTAAACAAAGTAACCTTGCGCCTATAATAAATTTCTCAATCGTTAATATCAGAAGCCAGATTTTCATTCGTTATAGAAAACTTTCTCGTGTGGGGGGAAGGGGGTTATTCCACGTATGCGTCATTTCCGGCGCGACAGTTTAATCCGCCCAACGTATGACGTATAGCCTTTGACCACTATTAATTTTCTAAAACGCGACCCCTGACGGCGTGTCTTTAAACTAAAAGCATCTATCAAGAACTGAATTAATACAGAAACAGTCGGATAAAATTACAGAAAAAAAAAACAACAAAAGAGAGAAACCCAAAACTCTGCCTTATTGGGCAAAGTTCTCTCGCTCGTCTAATGTTCTTTTTATTCGTCAAAATTGCACAAAACTTACTTAAACAAGGAAAATTGAAATAAGCATTGTTATCGGAAATTTTCCATAATAAAATGTTCACTGACGTAATGTTTTTTTTCCTCCCCTCCATCAAACGATTTCCGTAAGAAAGAATATTTAAAAATAATATCCAAGAAAAATTTATTAAATATTACTCTTACTCGAAAATCATTAGAAAATTGAGTAATTTTTATCCGCCATTTTTCCTTTTCTATCTTGTTTCTGTTCAAAGTCTTCCTGTCCCCATTTACAAATAATAAAATATATTTTATTTATTTTTACGTATATTCAAAAAAAAAAAAATTATATGTCAATACCGTATAATACAAAATTTATTTTCATTTATCGCTAATTATCGCGTCGTGTATAAGGAATACGGAATTTTTTGGTCTCGACCGTTCATCGCCTCAATAAAAATTAAAGAAAGGATAACACAATCCACCCTTTCACAGAAAATTGTGCAATAATTACAGTTCCTAAAATGATTATTCCTTGATTTTGTTACCTGTTTCGAAGTAGGATAAAATAGTCCAAAATTCTAACTATTTTTATAATCGGCGGAATTAATACAATTAAATATAATAAAAAACCCACAAAAAATTTTATATATGTGTGTGTGTATATATATATATATACTGTGTGTACAGTATATATATATTTTAACCCTTTCGTGAGGCGAAAAATGGGTGAAAATTGCTCGAAGCAAGATGACGTCAAGCTGAATAGGAATGAACGATAGGCAAGGGAATATAAAAACAAGTCTTTTAAATAGTAATATTATCCATAAATGGCAGTTGAAACTTGCTGCTGTAATCATGGACTCTCTGAATGCCATATCAGATGATCTCAGTATAATGCATCATAAAAAATATATTTTATGTTAAATATGGGAAATCATACTTTAAAAAACTGCAAATGTTTGTATATTTAAAAAAAATCTAACAAAATATAAAATATTATTTATCTGCTTGCAATATTAAATATTAAAATCGAGCTACGATGCCAATATTTCAAAAAATGTAAAAATTAGTGTCTTTAAACAGAAGTGTAATTTACAGTATAGGGTAATTCTTACAGTATTATACTGTAATTAAGTAAAATTTAAATCGATTATTAAAGTTTTACGCAAATATATAGACTATATATAGAGTTTGAAATTTTTTTCAACCATGTTTGAACAGAATATATATCTCACCTGAGAAGTTTCTTGTGAGTGTTTGCTGGCATAAAGTATTCTTCGAATGCTTTTCCCGTGCCATTGTTCTGCTGATTTAATTTTGCTGCCGAATGGCTGATTTCGTTATTGATTTCCTTTCCACCATTTTGAACACTGGTATCCAGATATTCCTTCTGAGCTTCTAATGCTTTCTCGCAATTATTGCTTATTATAGGAACAACAGTTGTACGTACTTCTTTCAATGGTATCTTTTCGGTCGCGGGATATCCTTTCGGATCGTGTGAATTTTTATTTTTTGATTTATCTTTATTGCAATTCATAAGTGTATCATCGGGAATCATAATTTCGGTTTCGCACGTATTCAGTACTTTACCTACTGGTCTACCTAACAGAGCGGTGATGTAATGATGATTGGAGGTATCGTTTTGGTACTTGTTCGAATTAGAATCATCGTTAAAGTTTGTGGCACTTTCATCGTTTTCAAATCCATAATTAACAACCTCACCGCTTGATTCGTCGTTCTGTAATGGAATATTTAAATCTAAACTTAATTTAACTAATCGCTCCTTTTGATCCGACTCCTCCGAAACGTCGTTCTCTTCCTCCGATAGAGAAGGATTTTCAGAATTTTCCTTTGTTTCATAGTTTTCTGAATCGTTGTCCTTTTTCTTAGAGTCATTTTCCGAATTCTACAATAAAAAATAAATAAATAATAAACATATAAAACTTATATATCATTGTTGCTGTTTTTTCTTACAAACAACACATTCACATTTAGAATAGTCTTTATTATTTCTTCTCCTAAATTCCAGGAGAGTTGTCACGTATGATTAGAGACCTTGAACGACGTCAGGTTCAACAATTTATAAGTAATTACTCTCAAATTTCTAGCAAACATGTTATGAACTACTTCAGTGATTTAGTAAGAAAAATCTCTTAAATCTACTAAGAAAATCTAACAAAACAACTGCGTTTTTCGGGCAAACGGCGTAACCGAAAAAATCTTAACTAATTTCGACACTACTTATTACCGAAATAATATTTTTAATACGTTTTATTGCTAAATATATTGTTTTAAATAGAGGTCGAAACATGTCCTTTGATAATATTTTTCTCTATCATTGTCTAAACAAAGTAACCTTGCGCCTATAATAAATTTCTCAATCGTTAATATCAGAAGCCAGATTTTCATTCGTTATAGAAAACTTTCTCGTGTGGGGGGAAGGGGGTTATTCCACGTATGCGTCATTTCCGGCGCGACAGTTTAATCCGCCCAACGTATGACGTATAGCCTTTGACCACTATTAATTTTCTAAAACGCGACCCCTGACGGCGTGTCTTTAAACTAAAAGCATCTATCAAGAACTGAATTAATACAGAAACAGTCGGATAAAATTACAGAAAAAAAAAACAACAAAAGAGAGAAACCCAAAACTCTGCCTTATTGGGCAAAGTTCTCTCGCTCGTCTAATGTTCTTTTTATTCGTCAAAATTGCACAAAACTTACTTAAACAAGGAAAATTGAAATAAGCATTGTTATCGGAAATTTTCCATAATAAAATGTTCACTGACGTAATGTTTTTTTTCCTCCCCTCCATCAAACGATTTCCGTAAGAAAGAATATTTAAAAATAATATCCAAGAAAAATTTATTAAATATTACTCTTACTCGAAAATCATTAGAAAATTGAGTAATTTTTATCCGCCATTTTTCCTTTTCTATCTTGTTTCTGTTCAAAGTCTTCCTGTCCCCATTTACAAATAATAAAATATATTTTATTTATTTTTACGTATATTCAAAAAAAAAAAAAATTATATGTCAATACCGTATAATACAAAATTTATTTTCATTTATCGCTAATTATCGCGTCGTGTATAAGGAATACGGAATTTTTTGGTCTCGACCGTTCATCGCCTCAATAAAAATTAAAGAAAGGATAACACAATCCACCCTTTCACAGAAAATTGTGCAATAATTACAGTTCCTAAAATGATTATTCCTTGATTTTGTTACCTGTTTCGAAGTAGGATAAAATAGTCCAAAATTCTAACTATTTTTATAATCGGCGGAATTAATACAATTAAATATAATAAAAAACCCACAAAAAATTTTACAAATTAAATTATTCATATATATATTTATAAACCAGTTTATTAAGAAATTAAAATTTATTTTTGTATTTTGAAATTAAGTCAATAACGAAATTTAGTTTATGTAGACTTAATTATTATTATTATTATTTTGGTTTTATTCATTAGCTATAATTATTATATCATTTTATTTCGGTTAAAATCATTCAATTTTAATTTAAATAACACTTAATTAACTTTTTCGTCTAATTAAAAACGAGTTTAAACTATGATTATATAGCTTAAATTCTATACATTTATTTATACATTTTAAATTTATATCTCTTAATCCAAACTTTATCTGTTTAAATGAAATAATATTAGTTCAGGTCCTTTAAATTTTATCGCGGTAATATCATTTCTAATTCAAATCCATTAATAGTAAAACTATTTTAACTTTAATCCTATTGTTCGTATTCATTTCAACGTATTTCGCAATGATTTATCACACAAAAAACTTAATACACAGATAAAAAAATGCCGTTATTTTGAATCATATCCTTTAAAAAATTTTTTTCCGTTCTATACCTGACATTCCAACATTCTTCGGTTTTCAGATATATTTTACGTTGTTTAAATATTTCCGCTTACAACAACATTCTATACAAAACTATAACTCGATATTTTGATATAATATTCTATCATTAAAGGAAATAGATAATAACTTTCGGTCTAAATAATTTCTGTTATGTCGCATACTTGAGATATATGTATTCTACAAATACGTTAACATTTAAATGATACTTTTTTACTTTTAACCTAATTCCATACCAATGGAAAAACTCGTACTTTAGGTCAGTTAGCGGATATAATTGAAAACTGTTTTCAGTAAGAAATTGCCATTATAATTCTTTGATATTGACTAAGATGCATATAAAATAGAAATAGAAAAAGAGTATATCGGATGGGATAAACTATTTTTACAATCCGATATATAAATAAGAACAGCAACAAACATATACACAAACACGAGCAGATATTTATACAGATATATAGAGTATGGTCCTATATAGACAGGAAACGTTTTGTAAAAATGAATGAAAAGACTCACACCTGTATACACAGAGAATAAAAGTTACATTCAGCAGCAACCGGCCTTTACTATGCTTTAATTTACTATTCAAAAAGATATTCGTAAAACTGAGAAAAACTTAGAGTATATACTGCCTACCGATAAGTTGTCACACCAGCCTGTCAACTCATACTCCTGAAGTATTTCTAGTTCAATAAAAACTGATGACGTATCTTAGCCTGCTTCTTTTAATTCTTAACTATTTAAAATTACCATTTGATCGACTAGTTAAGTTTTTGTAACACTTTAAATGAATAATTTAAAATGTACGATACGTACGAACCGTACGATAAGAGAAAATAGAATATATTTATAACACATACATACATGTATGTATATAAGTATTACAACGTAAAAATATACATATATAAATATACATATTTGGAGAAAATTACAAACTTACTATATATAAGGTTTGGTTCTCGAAAGACATCTTTGAAAAGCCGCCCTCTTCTTCTGTAAATAAGTATCAATGGTTTGTCACTTTATCTTCATCATACGATTTAAATATCAACGTATATATTTTTACATACCACACTATTGTCGAGACAACTGACTAGGATAATATTTAAATTAACAGTCGATATACAACACATCGTCGGATCTTAAGAGTTGGCATAACATACATCAGATTTAAATGTCGTCGCAACTGTTGGTAAATGTGTTTTCTCGATTATTTCGTACTGTATATTCGTCTGGGATAAATCTTTGTCCTTTATCTGGGTTTCTCAGTCAATGTTGGCATTGAAGGCGCCACTGCTTGTAACTTGTTAACCGTCAACGAAACCTGTACCTATCCTGTCTGGTGTGCGCTGCTAAAACCTGACTGGAAAACAGGTCGCTGAAACGTCTTGCCGTTCTGTGATTTGTTAACGATTCTCGACGGAGGAAGGTGCTTGTATAGGAGAAAAGAACGTTTAAAAAAGAAAAAGAAAAAAAAAGAAAGAAATTGAGAGAGAGAAAAATTTCCACCTCACCTCTAGTTACCTGATACTTGGTCTCAAGTACAGAGTATTTCTCAGAAAAATCCAAGTTCAACCGTTTTAACGTTGGTAAAAGAGTAATACGTTCCTCTCCGTCTGTTTAAACTCTATACAAATTTATTTTTCTTATTTTCTTTTAGAAAAGGAAAGTTTTACCTATGACAAGCTTATAATTTTCTATGTCGGAAAATATATAAACGTGGAAAAACCTGGTTAATTATCTAGCTCGAATTTTCCATTCTATTTTTCTATACGCTATTTTAATGTCCGGATCAAGAGGAAGGAAGGAAGAAAAAATAGCGTATTTGAAATGCAAATTTTAGCCAAATCTATTGGTATTCGGCAGATGTAAGGGATAATAATAGTAATCGATAATTAAATAAAATGACGCAACATTATTATGAAATATGAATATTTAAAATCAATTATGCTTATTTATTATTAAACATTATTTTTATAATAGTGCCATATATGTGTAAAATATATTCTATTCTCTATGTTACCAAAATTTTATTACCGGGTTTATACATTTAAAAAAGATTAATATATGTTTTTATATAAAATATCCCCTAAAAACAATACGATATATATTATAAATTTACTGTTAAATATTTTTCAAACTTATTATAATATATGGATCATTTAAAAATAAATTTAGATCTTGAAAATTTATTGTCCTATAAATTCCTTTATCAAATACAAATTACAAATTGCACTGTATACATTTTATAATAGATTATTTGAATAATTTTGCGCAGATATTTTTCATTATTTAATTTGAATTTTTATATTTTAAAATAATAATAATAATAATAAAAACCCTGGAGAAATTTAGCAGACACTAATGTTCTCAGGCCGCAGCTTGGGAGAATCTCATTTACAGTATTTTTCTATATTAAATTAGAAATTTGCACAAATATAACACTTTAAAATAGAACAATAATTTAATGAAAGAATTATATAACTTTAATAATAATTTATAATTTTGATATGTGAATATTCAGCACTTCAAACGTATAATAAAAAAATATATATATCAATTGTTTATCAACAGAATAACTAAGTTTTGTATATTTCTCTATAATATTCACAATTATAAGCTTCCTAAATGTTAATATAATTTATACAAGTACATATGTTAAATCATCAAGATCTACAGATTAGATACTTTAAGACTAGTTAAAATACACACACACACATGGGAACGTTCCACAAATATAAATTAAAGGAAACGTTTAAGAATAAAACAAAAGATTTATTTTAATCTTTCACTATTTAAAAAATAATTATCCAAATTCAAACTTATTTTACAAATTAATTTTTATCAGTTTTTAAAATTACAAACATAAAAAAAATTGAAGACGAACCATAAACAATTGGCATGTATCCAATTGCCAAATACAATGATTATTTCTATCGGATTCCATCATTTCCTTTAAAGTTTGTAGTAACCACTGCACAATAACCTTGTACAACCTACCAGTACTAACTTGTAAGCAGTACAATATGGAGGAAGTAAATAGTAAAATAAAAAATAACATTTATCATCTACCTTCCCCATAATAGTAAAATTTTACTACAACACTATAATTTTTAATAATATTTGAATCTAAAAAATATTAACAAATACAATAAATCTAGTCTTTATTAGTGTATAAATGGAGATTAGTTAAACAGAACTTCTTCCATAAGAGGCAATAATCTTCAAAATCTATAAAATTATTATGGAAAGATTAAAAGTTTTACTTTGTTTACAATATTTTAAAGTCCATTATAAATGAACTTTTTAAGATAAAAAAAAAATTCTGATTTTTAATTTTAATATTCAATGTTTTTATAAAAGAAGAAAAATAATAAACTGAACTATAAATACAAGGAAAATACTAATTACAATATTATTCATTCAATATAAATATTCAATATAAATGTTTTAAAATGTTTTAAATCAATAATATAAAATGCATTCATAAAAAATTCTATTTTCTCTTTTATTATTTACACAGAATAATATACAATAATTGCAATTGTAACAGTTTTAAGTTGGTAAAATACATTTTTAATGTTTTATTACTAATAAAAATACAATTTTAATATTGTAATTTTGATTCAATTAAAAATGTATGTGGTAATTTATATTTGAAACTTTTAAAATATATTATTAAGAAATTCTATTACAATTATCCATTATGAAAGATAATGTCGATTAGCTTAATTAACATTTCTTGTAAGCGTTAAAATACATGGTTTATATTTTAAGTTTGTTTAAGTGTAGACATGTGTAAGCATTAATTATGATAAGTGGTTAATGTAAACTAATAAATGTATATTTAAATAATAATAAAGTATAAATAGAAATATTGTATGCATTTAATTGAGATTTTCTTATAATAATATAGACCCATATTTAAATATGCTGCTTATTAATTAGGCATTTATTTTTCTATTATCTAATTACACAAAAATGTTTTTAAAACTTAATTTTATCCCTAAAAATTAGTGTTTTGCAAGAGAGCTCGAGTATTAATAATTACGTATAAAATATATAATTATCTTGTTAAATAATAATATATTTTTCAATGAAACAAAATAATACAACTTAAACTTATTTTCGTCCAAATATCACAATTAAGAGAATATATTATTTTTATTTTAATTATTCTATAAACAGTTTAAATTTAAAATAATAATATTATTATTTATAATAAATTTTTAATTCTATTTAATTCTTTATCATTGTAATTTGCAATAAACACATATTTAAAATTACAATTCACATTAAATAATTGAAGTAATTTAACCCAGTAAAGTATTTGTCAGATATTTTCAAAATATTCCTTAAATAATTGCATAATGTAAATAATTATTATGTTAACAATTTCAGTTTTTTTTCCTTTTACAATAATTTATTTTCATGTTTTTTAACGCTTACAAAACTTATCAAAACTAAGTAGTAAACTGTCTGTTATTAGATCTATTTATAATAATTTCATATAGTAATTACTGGCTGTACTTATATTATTAATCTCATTACTCTTCCATGTCGTTGTTTTATAGAAAAAAAAATATATATATATATATAATTAAAATATTTAAAGCATGGCATAGTTTTTAGATTATTACTAATATGTCAACATTTATGTCTGTATTTCTGTAATTATTATTATATTTTTTTGAGAATGTTATTAAATTACTTTATGAATAATAAAATTGTGAAATGTAATATTAAAATTTTGACATTTCATAATTTTGTTTTTATGATACTTTTGACATTGTCATCAAAATGTAACTTGGTTTTTATGATTTTATACAACATCTTACCTTTTCACTACTTTATTAATGGGTCAAGGAGATTGGTCTATTAGCAAGCTTTTAGCCCATGACAGTTGCCGTAGATTTAATAATGTTTGGTAAATAATGACTTAGAGATAAACTCTGGATATCTTGTTTTATAAAAAGTTGAAATAATCGGTTTTGTTGGCAGTATCAGTCGATATAACGTCCATATCCGAAAATAATATTTTTCCATCAGTAATGAGCGAATTAAAAAATGGAAAAAATAACGTGTAAAGAAGTTAATTGAAATGATATTTGTAAATAAAACTGTATTTTATGGAAAAAATTCTTTTCATAAAACACTTTAAAATTCAGTTCTTACGAACTGTACAGTACGTACAGTACAATAGTGCTGTACTCTTAACTTTCAGTTGCTATTCAAGGATAAGTTGCGAATTGCGCTTGCAATTCGCGTGTATATCACACTATGTAATAGACTAAACTTACGAAAACATTACATTTGTGTAAATAATATGTACCAAGTTTATTTTAAAAAAATTGTACAAGTGTATAGGAACCGCAATAAAGGGTCTAGAAGAACCGCTTGTGGCTCTTGAGCCGAAGCTTGGCTACACAATGAAACATGTTGCTTGTCGATTAATATATATATTTTAAAATATTTATAACATAATATAGTGCAGCCGTGATTTCTGTAGTCCTGTTTTGCGCTAATTTCAAATAGCGCTTTGTTAACACCACCAAATGACATATTAATACTGCAAATATGTTGTATAAATAATTATTTAATATAATCGCAAGACAAAAGCCTTCACAAACTATTAATTACAATAACGGTAACATAAACAAAATATAATTAATTCACTTTCTATACATTTATAAAATCATTCTCAAGTATAATTAGTTAAATAAACAACTGCGAGTAAATAATTTATTATTTTTGAGTAGCTTAAACAAATGGAAATGATCACTTCTTTTGCACATATATATGCATATTTTAAGATTATTTAAAGAAAATTAAGTCATTTAAATAAACAAAGTAAGGCCTTAACATCTAACAGCATTAATAATAATTTACTTTTAATTAGTTTTCAATTTGTGTATTACAGTTTTATAAAGCTTATTAGATATAAAAAGTTTATATATTAATTAGAAATAAAACATTTTAATTAAATTATTAATATTAATATTGATGTTTTAAATGCTTTTGCAATGACTTGAAAACAAATTTCTTTCACAAAAGGCCATTCTCTACATGGCTATTACATTACACGATTGATTTACATTTTTAAAAAATTCATATATTTGAAGGCGTTTTCCTATATTTGGAAGTAAAGGTGGACACTTGTAAGATGTAAATAGGAAAAAAACAGGCCTACAACTTCTGTGAAAACGTTTTGATGTTTGTGAATAATTCTTCGAATAAAAAGAAAGTTTGAGTAAAATAGATGTTATATTTAAAAAGAATATTTAATTTCTTATGAAGTGATATTGATAATATAGTTTATTCCCCGCAGCTAACGTGATTTAGTAATAAAATGAAATACGGATCAGATCGTTTCCTCACACTCAATTTTGTTGATAACTGAAATATATCATTGAATCGAACTACAAAGAACAATAGTACTGTTGTTTGAAATGACAACGAACGAGATGCTTTGTTATCATCTCAAGCAGCAGTAAATACAGTTGAAGTTAGAAAATAAATTAACTAAATTAGCTTATCTAAATATGTGCAGACTACAAATTAAAAATATTCTGAAGTATTTTAAAAATTAATCGATAAAGTTTTCCAAGAGACTGAGAAAATATGGCGGTATATTCGGTTCTTTTCCAGTCACTATCCAATCAGAAGATTTAAATAGTTTACAAGTTTAAACAACTTATTTAACCTCGTTTAACTACTCAAACTAGCTTATGACGTTTTTAAACTAATTCGACTGAACTATTTCTGTTTACACTTCGACAGTCAGATTAACGACCTAAACGAGTTTAATCCTAGTGCAAACATAGGATGCGTTATTTGGTAAAGCTGATTAAAGTGGTTTTGTTAAAGAGAGTTTAGATATTTCCGCTTTAAATTAGCCACTGTAGCGCTAAAAATAAAATTTAAGCACAGTGCTTTGTAGTGAGAGGTTGGCATCTAAATACAGATTTACTATAGAAGATGGTTACTTTGTTTGGATTTTACCCAATAAAGTTTAATTTGTTCAAAACAAAGTCGTTTTAACTTTTAAAATATAAAATTTCCAAGTGTGATTTGTTCTTTGCATTCACATGGGGAAAAATTCTTTCATAAAATTCAGAATTATTTTTTTTAACAATTTATGATCAATGTCAAGTATAGGGCAGAGTATATGTTAATCATTCACTTTTGTCGATTTTTTGACAATTTGAGCTATACCAAAAAGAATTAAAAACACATCACAGAAACATTTTATCACATAATTAAATGTTACAAAAGTTCTAAAAAAAATTATAGTACAGAGTTCTATCTCTCTTACACTATGTTTATGACTGATCCATTTGAAAACGCAGATAAAACACTATTAAACTTTGATAAAATAGATTTTTATGGTTTGTTTTGAATTATACAAATAAACTCTATTTATTTAATATCAATTATATATAAAAAAAAGAATTAAAGTAGAACAAATGAAATAAATTTCTAGGTAAATAATGGAAGTACTTTATTAAGAAGTAGAGAATTTGACTAGCATCAATTTCTGCTTCATCCATTTCTACCAAAGTACCATTGCTTAGAAGTGTTAGAACATAATAAACTTCACAGTGTTTATATGCGGTTTGAGCGGCAGTAATAAATAAAATGTCTTTATTCTTTTTTTTCCTTTAAATTCAACAGTTGCGACGTGTGAATAAGCTTCTTCAATGGAATTATTCCATGGTAAGGGGCTTCGTTTCCTGTTCACGGTGTTCTCTCACTTGTTTCCAATTTAGACTATTTTCTTTTTCTTTTCTTTTTTTTTTGAAAACGGAAATATGTAACGATTTTAAGCTATATTTTAAGATATTTATATATAGAGAGTAGATAAATCTTTTACAAATGCTAATTTCGTTATAATGCTACAACGCTCGAAATTCTATCTTATCCACACTTTTATTAATAATTCGAGTCAAATCTCACTTTAAATAAATACTTTTTAATATAACAAAGATTTCTGATGTGACTTCACACACAATTTTTAATTACTAAGAGAAAACTGCAACGAAATAAAGCTAATACACTATTTTTCGCTTACAAATATCTTCATTTTCCAATTTGAACACCGTATTCGTCAAACGTGACATTCAAATTGGAAAATGCCAACCTCTTACATATACAGGACCACAGAATTTAAGATGGCTACCAAAAAAAGGCAAAGCTTTGTAAAATTTTTTAGACTGGAAGGTACATACATCGTGGATCTCTTCCGACTTTTATAACATAAGCAGCGCCGTAACTAGCCTTTTATGCACCCGATGCGAGCTTCTGTAACTATGACCCAAAACTTGGTCCAGATCATTTCTGTACCCTGTGTCTGGGCACCGTTGGTACCGCCCTAGTTACGGCACTGAACATAAACCACAATTTTGCGTCATTTCCGAATAAATATTTTGACTTTTATAAAAGCAGAATTAAAAACAGGAGAGTAAACAGTAGACAATAGAACTACTTCCTTCGATAGAGGAAATCGCTTAAAGCGACCTCCAGCAGCAGATTTACCAGGTAATATATTACCTATAGCATATTAATAGATGCGACGAGAGGAATAGTAACATTAATAAATTTCTCTTCCTAAATTATACACTTTTGAAAATGAATAGTTCTTATCAAATGATGATTATGAATTTTTAATAATAAACATTTAATAATGCTTTAGTTACAATGTAAAAAAAACTGGCACTATAGAATCTACCAACCAATTAGCGACATCATTTCTTGTCTTGTTATTTTCTAATAAACGTAAATATTCTCTATTGTAAAGATAATAAAAAGATGAAAGATGAAATGTTTGACTAATATACTTTGATTATCAGAAGTTTTATATCAGATAGAAAACCATTGTTAAAAGTTGATCAGTAATGTTGTGACATGGCTTTAAAACCACCCACTGTCTATAAATCGGTGATTTGGTGCAGTCATCGACGATGGATCCAATGATTATGTCTTGACTATAATCAATTGTACTAACTATTGTTCATACTATTTTACTTATGCTTTTTTTTCAAATGGAAGCGTATAACTATAATGGAGTCTCGATTAACAGAGATGAATTCATGGACTTAATTAAACATGGACAACAGTTTCTGAATTACGAAAAAATTATTCATATCATTTTAGTTGGACCTCTTTTCATTTGAATCAGGCGTAATTTGAATCAATAATTTTTTTATCAACGATGACAATATCAGTTTCCCCATTAAATCCAAAAGCATCCCAAACCATTACACTGCCACCTCCTAACTGACTACTCATTCTAACTTTGGCTTCTCTTTTCACATCATGCCAATAATATCCACAACCATCTTGTCCATCTAAATTCTACATTTTTTCACCAGAAAACGCAACTTTTTCCCACTCCTTGGTCCAGCTCGTGACAGATTTAGTCTATTGAAGTCTATTGCCTGTGAACAGGTATCAAATTAGGTATCATTTTTCAGTATTTTATGTTGTTATTATCAAGAACACATCACCACATCGTCTGATGGGAGACAGATTTTGGTAAATTAGCAGCTACTTGTCTAGTACATATCTGCTAACTGTTACTTTATAAGGAAAGAAACCTTTCGTTTATATCTGTCAGTTAATTTTTTCTTGCGTCCACTTCTCTCCATTTCCATAATTTTCTTGTTTTGTCTATACATTGGCCACAACAGTTTTAGAATCATTAATTATTAAAGTTATTTCTCTGAAACTTTTCAGCACCTCGTAATTCATATATATAGGCCTATCGAATTTCAGTCTCTAAAAGTTCACTATTTCTTGGCATAAATCTTAACAGTTTACGTTTTAAACACTAATAAAAAACTGTTAATATTTGAAAAGTTTAAAATGATTGGCTGTTATAATACCGGATGTGATGTAAAAACATTCCATTCAATTGTTCATTAAAAATATATGTACATTTGTAGAGAATTATTACTCTAAACCAGCGATTCCCAACCTGTGGTACGCGTACCCCTAGGGGTACGCGATAGGTTGTTTAGGGGTACAGAAAAAAGTTAGTTATTATGGCAGAAAAAATAATATATTATGTATCACAAACTAATAGTATTAAAAAATTATTAGATAAAAAATGTNTTAAATTTTATCGCGGTAATATCATTTCTAATTCAAATCCATTAATAGTAAAACTATTTTAACTTTAATCCTATTGTTCGTATTCATTTCAACGTATTTCGCAATGATTTATCACACAAAAAACTTAATACACAGATAAAAAAATGCCGTTATTTTGAATCATATCCTTTAAAAAATTTTTTTCCGTTCTATACCTGACATTCCAACATTCTTCGGTTTTCAGATATATTTTACGTTGTTTAAATATTTCCGCTTACAACAACATTCTATACAAAACTATAACTCGATATTTTGATATAATATTCTATCATTAAAGGAAATAGATAATAACTTTCGGTCTAAATAATTTCTGTTATGTCGCATACTTGAGATATATGTATTCTACAAATACGTTAACATTTAAATGATACTTTTTTACTTTTAACCTAATTCCATACCAATGGAAAAACTCGTACTTTAGGTCAGTTAGCGGATATAATTGAAAACTGTTTTCAGTAAGAAATTGCCATTATAATTCTTTGATATTGACTAAGATGCATATAAAATAGAAATAGAAAAAGAGTATATCGGATGGGATAAACTATTTTTACAATCCGATATATAAATAAGAACAGCAACAAACATATACACAAACACGAGCAGATATTTATACAGATATATAGAGTATGGTCCTATATAGACAGGAAACGTTTTGTAAAAATGAATGAAAAGACTCACACCTGTATACACAGAGAATAAAAGTTACATTCAGCAGCAACCGGCCTTTACTATGCTTTAATTTACTATTCAAAAAGATATTCGTAAAACTGAGAAAAACTTAGAGTATATACTGCCTACCGATAAGTTGTCACACCAGCCTGTCAACTCATACTCCTGAAGTATTTCTAGTTCAATAAAAACTGATGACGTATCTTAGCCTGCTTCTTTTAATTCTTAACTATTTAAAATTACCATTTGATCGACTAGTTAAGTTTTTGTAACACTTTAAATGAATAATTTAAAATGTACGATACGTACGAACCGTACGATAAGAGAAAATAGAATATATTTATAACACATACATACATGTATGTATATAAGTATTACAACGTAAAAATATACATATATAAATATACATATTTGGAGAAAATTACAAACTTACTATATATAAGGTTTGGTTCTCGAAAGACATCTTTGAAAAGCCGCCCTCTTCTTCTGTAAATAAGTATCAATGGTTTGTCACTTTATCTTCATCATACGATTTAAATATCAACGTATATATTTTTACATACCACACTATTGTCGAGACAACTGACTAGGATAATATTTAAATTAACAGTCGATATACAACACATCGTCGGATCTTAAGAGTTGGCATAACATACATCAGATTTAAATGTCGTCGCAACTGTTGGTAAATGTGTTTTCTCGATTATTTCGTACTGTATATTCGTCTGGGATAAATCTTTGTCCTTTATCTGGGTTTCTCAGTCAATGTTGGCATTGAAGGCGCCACTGCTTGTAACTTGTTAACCGTCAACGAAACCTGTACCTATCCTGTCTGGTGTGCGCTGCTAAAACCTGACTGGAAAACAGGTCGCTGAAACGTCTTGCCGTTCTGTGATTTGTTAACGATTCTCGACGGAGGAAGGTGCTTGTATAGGAGAAAAGAACGTTTAAAAAAGAAAAAGAAAAAAAAAGAAAGAAATTGAGAGAGAGAAAAATTTCCACCTCACCTCTAGTTACCTGATACTTGGTCTCAAGTACAGAGTATTTCTCAGAAAAATCCAAGTTCAACCGTTTTAACGTTGGTAAAAGAGTAATACGTTCCTCTCCGTCTGTTTAAACTCTATACAAATTTATTTTTCTTATTTTCTTTTAGAAAAGGAAAGTTTTACCTATGACAAGCTTATAATTTTCTATGTCGGAAAATATATAAACGTGGAAAAACCTGGTTAATTATCTAGCTCGAATTTTCCATTCTATTTTTCTATACGCTATTTTAATGTCCGGATCAAGAGGAAGGAAGGAAGAAAAAATAGCGTATTTGAAATGCAAATTTTAGCCAAATCTATTGGTATTCGGCAGATGTAAGGGATAATAATAGTAATCGATAATTAAATAAAATGACGCAACATTATTATGAAATATGAATATTTAAAATCAATTATGCTTATTTATTATTAAACATTATTTTTATNTTTTTTATATTTAATTTCTCAAAGAATACATTTAAAGCCATCGAATCGAAACATTGTTATTTAGTCAAATTAATTAAGCGTTTAATTTACACTTTTAATTGTTTAAACTTGTGTGTAAGTACGGTTTGACTTCGTATCGCAGATTGTCCCATTTAGCTCATAGCAATAGCATGAAATGAGTGAGTTACAAACATACTTCAGAAGTTTCACCTCAGCTCACACGAGATTCAACCATCCCCAACAAATTTAATTTCCAGAAAATAGAGCGTACTGACGATAAACCTTTTACAATTTCGATATTAATAGAAATGTTTACTTATCATCATCGATTACGGATATTCAATAATTGAAATTTGTATCGTTTATAATATTTGCTTATCGGAATAGCCTCATTTGATTTGCAATAATTATATGTATACTCGTCCCAGTTCATCGACCTAAATATTTCTTTTAAGCATCTAACATTTTCGACGATAAGAAATCAATCGTTTCATTTTTCTTTTGATTCCGTTGTATTTATCTAACGAAAAATATTTTAAGAATCGGTTTTATTTTCGATTGAATTTTCGTTCTATTTTTAGAAAGGAATGCTCTTTTTTTACTGTTACTAGTTTTTCTTGTTTGCTTTTTGTTCTTTAATTCTAACTCAAGCAATTGCTATTCTATAAAGAATTCTTATTTTACTATTTAAATTCCTTCATTCCTTGTTCATTTTTAGTAACTTGTGTCTACTTTAAATACTACCCCAGTATAAAAATCCGTTGCACGTATTTTTTCACTTATATTCGTATAACGTTTTGTTTCATAAATTTTTGAAATTTAAAAATTTTTTTGCTTGTTTTTGTGGATGTGATAAATTTTTTTATAGCTCATTTAAATTTCTTACACTTGTTTATTTGCTTACGTCAAACTTTTTAAACTAGTTCAAACTAGTTCTAAATTCTATAGACATATTCATATATAACTAGAAAAACAATTTAAAAAATTATTATATTAAATAATAACTCAGATTTATCGAATATCTTTTAATTTTTTCTATTCCTATATTTTTATTTTGGAATTTTTCTTTTACATTTTGTATTTTTATAAAAAAAAAAAAAGTTCCAACAGAAGATTATCTTTAAAGCAAATTAAGCGCATGGTTTAGGGGATTCGAGCTCAAGTAGCTGCAAATAGAAGTAAGTATTGAATTCCATTTACAAATATTAGCCAAGTAGCGGCCGAAGTTTTCATCTGTAAAACGTGAACGTCGAACGTCGACGTCGCTTACAAGATAGCGGCGTTCGACGTTCGACGTTTACGTTTTACAGATGAAAACTTCGGCTGCAATCCTTCTATTAAATGGAACATTAAAGGAGCGCCATATTAGTTAACGCTTTAAGGCGTGTATACATGTTAATTCGCCACTGATGAGTCAATATTTCAAATCTATCATTCGTCTTAATTAAAGATTAATTATATTAAAATTAATACAGAGCAATTCATTAGAATGAAATTATAAATTTTAATATAAAATTTATTAAGTTAATTAACCTATTTTATTGTCAGTTTAAATTTAATTACGTGAATAATATTTATTACTTTTCTTTACCAAAAAAAAAAGAAAGAAAAATAAAATATTTTCTAGTTGATTAGGGTCATTTTTTTAAATAAAAATAATCGATAACTATATTTGGCCAAGTAACGAACATAATATAGGCCTTTATACGCAAATTTAACATAAAAACAATGTAGTTTATACTATTATAAATTAACGAATAGCAATTCAATTTATTTATTTATTCAAATAATAATATGTGCATATAATTTATAATAATTGTTTGTTAATATAGTTACATAAATACTGTAAATGATATTTAAATGTTATTAAAACTATATAGATCATAAATAATGTCTGTGTAGATCCATATAAAATAATAAAATATAAATATTACTCTTATTTATTATATTTTTCAATCCTTATTAAGATACTGTATAGGCTATATTGAATAGACAGCGTGTAATATAATATATATATTTATATGCATACAAACGTGTATGTGTATAAATATATAATGTAGTGGTCTCTAGATTATTATATAAAATGTTTCAAATTGCTTATAATTTTTACAAACTAATATAAGTTTTCACTATTTTCTTTTAATTCCTTTATAATGGTAATAAATAAATTACTAAAATGTATAATTTTAAATCATTTAATCTAAATTCTTATAAGGAAGAAACTTTAATATTTTATATTATTCATAATATTTCACAATATTTTCTTTACACAATTTTGTGTTAATAAACTTTCCTATTTATATCTGTAATAATTTACATTAATTTATACTTAAATAACCAATAATAGAGTAGCATTGAATATATATACTCTTAGTTTTATTACTGATTTAACTTAAGACAGTAAATGAAAGATTTTGAAGGAAAATCACTGGCATCAAAAACAAAATTTTTTGTTTAAAATTTATTTCCATTAATATCGGTCAAACAAAACTAGTTTTTTTAGTCATATTTAATATAAAAAATATATAAATAATTCAAATGGGCAATGCGATCATCGTTGTATTCAACTTATTTTACAGAAAAAATACCTTTATTTATTACACAGATGAAAAAATCTATATATATATGAGCTTATATTTTTAACATGTACCAGTATAATAACCAATTGCATAATCTTTTATATCTTTTGAAGTAATTCCAATTGTTTAAGACAATGAAAATAAAAATAACAAGAAAATTTTTCATTTTAATTAAAACAAAAATTTTAAATGTGAAAATATTATAAGAAATTATGTTTTATTTAGTTTAAACTATTTCAAATCTTCAGACTCTTGCAAATATAACATGATAATAAAAATGACTTACAGTATATAAATATTTTAAAAATTAAGATAATTTATGATATCAAAATTTAATTTCAATTAATTGAAACTGTACCTAGCACGTTTCAATTTAAAAATTACAGATTCCACCTTCTCAATTTTATATTACTTTATAAATAAACTATTTACAATTTCTTACTTTTTAACTATAACCAACATTATTACAACATTTTTAGAATAATCTACATTAAAAATAAGTTTTAATAACTTGTTCGAAATGTTCTAGCAACTCATTTTTCTATAGAAATGATAAATTTTTTCTCCTAACTTAAAATGTTTTCAGCATATTTTATGTTAACTATTTTATAGAGTAACGAAATGAGCCATTACTTTTACTTTCTGGCATAAAACGGAATTAAAATAATTTTTCATTCCCACCATACAGAGCTCTGTACACTATTTCTGTGTATAATTAGTATATAGATGTATAATTTTTTTTATTTTTATTGTTAATAGAAATAACATTATATATATTTACGATAATAAAAATATAAACATTTTACAAAATATCCATATAAAAATTATTTCTATAATTTAGTAATGATAAAATTTTCTATGTATCATCCTATTAAAACTTAAAAGAATGTATTTAATTTTTAATATATTAATAATAATTTAATTTTTTTTTGGAAATAGTAAAGCTATCAAAAAAAAATTAACAAGAGGCTATATTTTAATTATTTAACTAGAAAAAAATCTTTCGTTAAATTCACCGTATAAAGGTATGTGTAGTAAGAGCTAATTTTCCTTTACAATACTAATTTTATGGGTGTGCTGTGAAATATATATATACAGTACATAAAGTATGACTTACCGGCGGCTAGAATTCCTAGTAAAATTCCAGCAATGATCAGTAGAACAGTGCCACAAACGATCACGAGTTTCCAACCATTGCATGACGCTTCTTTTTCTTTGGTCAAGTATAATTTTTCTCCCCTGCGAAACAATTTAAAAAAACAGGTATAATAAAATAGACTGAGAATAATAAATTTTTCTTTTAATTCGTCGCACCGAAGAACAAACATCAATAGGCAAAATCAAGAACTGGAACGAATTATCAGTTCCAAAGAACACTTTTAATTTTGAAAATAATATTCTATTTTATTTTAATTCGATTACGAAACATAAAATAACGGCGAATTGCTTTTTTCCTTCTAGAGAAGGTTTAAACAATTATATATATATATATTTATTTAAAAATGCTAACAATTTACTTAAATTTTATATTTTGTGAAAAATAAAGAAAAATGGCGCATCCCAAATTGAAGTGTTTGAAATAGAAATATTATAATTAATATTACTATTAATATAGAGCTAAAGCATATACTGTATATATATGTGTGTGTATATATATATATATATACTGTGTGTACAGTATATATATATTTTAACCCTTTCGTGAGGCGAAAAATGGGTGAAAATTGCTCGAAGCAAGATGACGTCAAGCTGAATAGGAATGAACGATAGGCAAGGGAATATAAAAACAAGTCTTTTAAATAGTAATATTATCCATAAATGGCAGTTGAAACTTGCTGCTGTAATCATGGACTCTCTGAATGCCATATCAGATGATCTCAGTATAATGCATCATAAAAAATATATTTTATGTTAAATATGGGAAATCATACTTTAAAAAACTGCAAATGTTTGCATATTTAAAAAAAATCT